TTTTGGCCAACTGCTTCTTAGTTATTGCATTTCACAAAGACAGCAATAACACTAGAAACCTACCTCCTGAAATTGCTAGAGATGTAAATATATACATATATATGATTTGTATGACAGCATTTACTCAGTATAAACATATAGGGAGGATATTATTTTTCTAGTGATTTGATATGTACATTTCTTAAATATCAAATTGCTGGATAAATGTGATCCAATGGGAAATAGTAACACTTTCTAATGAGTATGCTCAGCGTTTCAAATCCATCCTGGTCAGTTTAAGTGTCCCTTCCCTCACTGGCTCTCACTCATATCTAGGGTTTTGTTTGCTGCATCTTTTGAAACTTTAGACCAAGTTTCCTGGAGACCTGAAATTGAGGGAACCGTGGTAGCTCATTGCAGAGTTGACGAAGGGAACGTGGCACTAAGGCCAAGGCTGTGGGAGGAGGGGAAGCAGCTGGCTTTCCAAAATCACTTGGAGAAGGAAACAGACAGATCTGACCAACGGAGCTGGCCTCAGGCCTCCTAGAAGCGGTTATGGTTCTGAGCTTTCTCACCCACCTCTCAAGGTAGGCAGAATCCAAGGGAATTCTCCTATTTCAGAAAACTCACCTTTAAGGTTCATTTGGTCAAATCTCAGGTAGAAAAAGGATCTTCATTTTATAGCTTGGGCCACCACAACACTTCTTATTCTATACAAATTTAATGCATATAGAATTTCTAGTATATTCTTCCACACTCCAATAGACTGTTTTACACTCATCTCACCTTGAAAGAAATATTGCAACCCACTAGCCAGCACTCAAAATGTTGACCTTGAAAATATGTCACACATTCGCATGGTGTCTGTTGGACAGGCATATAATTATGCCAGATAATCAGGCATTTGATTATCTGGACCCTGGTAGAGCTGAAACTTTTGCCATATCCAGGATTGAGAAAAATACAGTGAAAAGAAAACACACCCTCACTATGTTTGATTTCTTGTGTCGTGTTGTACACGCCAACATATTTTCTCCTTACCGTCCATTCTTGGAATGCTCTCTCATGACAGGAGGGGTGAGTCACAGCTAAGGGAATTGTTGCGACTTGCTCCACCCAAGAGTATAAGCCACACCACGGGAGATCTTGGGTTCTCAGGGGTTATTTATCTTGGGGAGGGGCTTGATCACAATTTGCATGATTACATGGTACAGATGTTTATTCATGAAGGTGACCTCAAGTGAGGCGAGAAATTTCTTGGTCTGACTATTTTAAAATTCAGCCAAATGTCCACCCAGTGGGCAAACCCAGCTGCAGAAGAAATTAAAACTGGGACGACAAGAAGTGTGACGGATCAGGATTGGACCACGCTGACAGGCTTGAGGAGAGGTCTGGAGCCAGGCAAAAGGGTGTGTGCTCAACGAGAGGATGGGGAGTCAGGGCAGAATTACAATAGGAGGGGATAAGCAGCACTTGTATGCTTACTTGTGTGAATCCGGGATTTTTTTCATTTTCTCACTATGAGAATTGCATCTGCAGTTTGATATAAACCTGGAGACTCAGTCACTCTTACAGACCCCACTGCTCATGACCAGAGCCAGCTGTCAGCAAAAGTGCCACATGGAGAATACTGGGACCTTCCAGACGTTTCCCTCCTTCCATTAGGCCCATCTATTCACATCTTCCCCTCAACCATGTCTTAATTTCTCCCTTCGGTTCAGTGGTTTTCCAAGTGTAGTCTTTGGGCTGGCAGGATCAGCATCACCTGAGCACTTGTCAGAAATGCTATTCCCAGGCCCACCTGAGACCTACTGATTCAGAAATTCTGGGGGTGGGGCCCAGAAATCTGTGTTTCCTCAAGCCCTCCAGGTAATTCTGATGCACACTAAAGTTCAAGAACCGCTGCTTTCAGTATTAAAAAATAATGACTTTAAGATGAGAGAGCCTGTGCATTTTAGGAGAGGACTTGTAAAAAAGATAAGTCACTCAAGCACCTAGTGAGTCATTTTCTAGTAGTGGAATCTCCAGTCTTGTGGCAGACAGTGAGAGAGAGATTTGCGGCTGCTGTGTTAGCTCAGGCCCTCATCATCTCTTATCTTTAGTTTCATCTACTTCAATCTCCTCACAATGCCACTAGAGATGCGTACCCGACCTGAAAACCTGACCGTGTCAAACCTCAGCTTAAAACCCTTCAGAGGCTGCTCCCTGCCCTTAGGATAAAGTCCAACCTCCCTGGCACACGACCGGGGCTTTCATCACCTGCCTGCAGGCCACCTCCCTGGCCTTGTTTCCTTCCACACTTTCCCTCCTACACGGCCATACCTCACTGTCTGCAGGAGGGTCATGCTTCTCCACACCACCGACATCAAGATTAGCCAGGTGACTTACCTTGGTCAATGGCATGAGAGTGGAAGAGATGTCTGCTACTTCTAAGCAGACACTGAGTGCCACAGTTTTGTTCTGTCATGTACTCTTTTTTCCCTTTACCATAAACGAGATCAGTATTATCCCAGAAAGAGACTGTTTCTCAAGTCTTAGTGGGTCTCAGAATGAAGACAGACGAGGAGCGGAACCAAAAGCAACCGCGGTGTACGTGAGAAATAAACCTGGGTGGTTGCAGGACACTGAGATTTGGGGGTTATTTGTTATTTTGCCTACGATGAATATTACAGCACTTCTGATTTCCCATATCCTCTCTGTCTGGAATGTCTTCTCCCCTCTGCTCTACCCTTCCTTCCAACCCCACCTAAACCCTGTCTGCACAGGAGAGACTTGCTCATTATTCTACACTCAGATCAAGTGATATCCCCACAACCAAATCTTTTTTCTTTCCCAGGTCTGACTGATCACTCTCACCTTTTGGACCTCCTCTCCGTGCTACAGATCTGTAACTATGTCCCTGGAACTGTGCTAGGGGCTTTCCATTCATGAGCACCATCCTTAGAACGACTCCTCTAAAACAATTTATTTTTTTGAGTCCTCATTTTACAGAGTGAGAGACTTTGGCTCAGAAAAGCAAAGCAACCTGTCCACATTTCCCAGCCATCAGCCACAGAGACAGAGCTCTCACCAGGCGCGGGTCTGACTCTGAACTCAGCGATCTTCCCCCTGCCCCACACGCCTTTCTCTCTCCTCCAGCAGCAAGCTTGCAGGTCCTCCCACTCTGGGGGAGAGAGTGAGCTTCCTTATCAACAACTGAAAAGGCTGTCGAATTAATCTGACACCTGAAAGATTTGCATCTGGAAGTGGGCTTCTGACCCCCTGAGAAGATAATCACTTTCTCTAAGTGGATGCATTCCATTCGAAGGCTCCTGGCAAATGCACTTGGAGACCCTAGAAGAACTGGGGCATTTTCCCCGTGCGTTTTCCCCAACTCCCAAGCTATGGGGGTGGTGTGGTGTGATAAGACAGGCAGATTCCCACTGACATAGCCCTAGAGAAGCTCCGGGAAGGTCCTTTTGGGGTTGTCACAGGGTAGGAGGCGAGCAGAAAAGGGTTCAGAACTCCCAGCAGGTCTGCTACATAATGATATTTTAGATTTTAACAAGAAAAATGAACGGAGCCAAATGTTTATTTGACTCTTCAGATTAAACAAGAAAAGTGACACAGTGGCAAAGAACTGAACCAGACCACCCAGGTCAGACACAGGGAAAACCACCAAAAGCGGGAACTGCAATTTTAGGTTTTATGAGCTGCTGGCATTTTGTTGTGTGGTTGGGTTTTCTGTTTTTCTTTTTTCTCTCTCTTTTAAAACTTTACTTGTTTAAGGGAGGAGTAGACAGTATAAGAATCTTCAAATATTTCCCCCAAATCAGCCACACTAGTGAAAGACAAGTATTCATAAAGTATATGATATTCTTGTCACACAACATTCATACCAATTTTTTCAAGGGTTACAAAGCTTTTCTCAGTTACGAGTTGGAATCCATCTCTCTCTCACTATTTCATGGAAGTAGTTTTTTACCTTTCAAAGGATATATTACCTTTAAATGATACCATCAGTAACATTAATAATAGTATTTTTTCCCCTTCAAGTGTAGAAAGCTGTTCAGAGCTCCAAATAGTCGTTGGGCTAGTTCGCACACGTCTGATTTACTTCTTTCAAAGACCTTCCACTCCGTATAATAAATAACAAGAGCCAGCATTTATTGCGTACTTAGCACTGTGTTCGTGTTTTTCAGGCACTGGCTCATTTAATCCTCAAAACAACGCTATCAGGCAGGTAAAATCCTTCTGCCCACTTTCCTAATTAGGAGAGTGAGGCGCAGAGAGCATGAAGGACTTGCCTAAGGGACAGAGACAGGCAGAGGCCAGGAGCTGCATAAGAACACAGTTAATGATTCACTTACAGCACTCAGGCAGCTCCTTTCAGTAGGCGCTGCACCACACACACACACACACACACACACACGCTCACGCTCACACTCATCTTCAACTCTCTCCATCCCAGCAAGAAGCGAGTGTCTGGCAAATTGCTTGGCAACGCGCAGAGGAAACTCCATCCAAAGCCCGGGTCGGCCGGTCCAGGCCGCCTCTGAGCGCTGTCCAGCGGGCAGCGCGCCTGAGAGGCCAGGCTGGGGTCCTGTCTCCGGAAGCCCCGAAGGTGGGGCAGAACGCCAAAGCCGAGATTTCAGGTGTGGGGGGGAAAGGCACCGTCCCCAGGGACACCTGTTGTCCCCTCCCCACTGAGGCCAATGAAGACGTCCCGGGGACCCAGATCTCGGGGAAGACACCCGCGGGCAAACAGCGTCTGTGCATGGGCGCGGGGGTCGCAGGTGTCTTCCCCCACCCCAGCCCCGCCCACCCGAGGCGGACTCACCTCCCCCTCCCACTCCTGGACGCCCGCAGCGGGTGGAAATGTCGCGCCTCCCCTGGGCTCCCGCCGAGGCAGGCGAGAGCTGCTCGGGGCAGCCCCCGCGGCGCTAGGACCCCGCGGCCGGCCAGCCCCCCGCCCGCTCCACCTGCGGGGCCCCTCCGGCGGGGCACGCTCGCCCTCCCGCAGAGGGACCGGGCGCGGTTACCTGCGACGCCGCCTGCAGGGGCCCGAGTGTCGGCCAGAAGGTGGCCGCGGCACAGCCGGCTGGGCTGGCCCGGGGATCCCCCGGCCGCACAGCTCTCGCCTGCTCCCTCCGGGCCGCAGCGCCGCCGCCGGCTCCCGACTCCGGGCTCGCTCTGCGCCCGCCGGCTCCGGGAGCCGCTGCCGCCGCTCCTGATTGGCCGCCGCGCGCGCCCGAGCCGCGCCCTGATTGGGCAGCCGGGAGCCGGGGCGGGGGCACGGGCCGGGCGCCGCCTGGACCTGCTCCCCGCGCCCCCGTCGCCGCAGCCTCGCGTCCCTGCTGCACCCCGGGGCCCGGATCCAGACGCTGAAACTCGGGTCCTGCCCCTCCGCGCCGGGGGGGGGGGGGGGGGGGGGGGAAGGGGGGGCCCGCCTGCTGTCCGCGCACGGGGCGGAGCGGAAAGCGTCTCTGAGAGTAACACGGGGTGGCGGGGAGTGGGGATCGCTTTGGAGGCTCTCCCACACCCCGCGCCAAGGCTAGCCGGTGGGGGGAATCGTTGCTTCTCCGGCCTCACGCCTACATGGAGCTATGACTTCGTGTTCATTTTGATACTTTTGCTATAAATAAAGGGTTTAGGACGTAGGGCAGTGGCTTGTAAACAGTGGGCGCAAAATTGTGTTTGTGGATTCACATTGGACTTTACACACAATCTCTATGTGGTCCAACCGGACCTCGCAAAAGAGAAGTGACTTGTCCAAGAGCCTAATCACCTTAACAAATTATTAAGAACGAGAAAGATGGTAAGATCTTCATTTACAAAGAACTTAATGCCTAGCTAGGGAGATGAGGTTGAATAATAATAATAATAATAACCGGAACATTTCCGTGGTGCATGTTGTTTTCTGAACACTTTTCCAAGTGCTTTACATATATTAATTCAGAAATACAGAAACAGCTGTCATAAGGGTGTCCATATGTCCTTTGAAACGTGTGGACAAGTGACATCAGTTCTGCGTATGGAGAGATTTTCATCCGGAAGACACACTCAGTCAGTCCATACAGCGGTAAAGAGGCACAAGTTAGAATGGAGAAGGATTGTCAGGAATTAAAATTGTTCCCATCCTCCATTTCTTCCCCCATAGTCTTTAATCCTCGCGACATTTTCTTCCACCTGCACTGAACCTTTCTAAAGAATAGAAACAACAGCTATAAATCAAGATGCCACTAGAACTTTGTCCTACCACTCATAAAAAGACTCCCCTCAGATAGACAATGAGTCGAAATAAACAGCACAGTTTGTTTTAGGACCTTTGACTTAGGTTGCTATAATGTCTTGAAAGCTAGTATGTAACCATTTTCCTACAGGTATGTTGCCCCTGGTTCTATTCTCCTATGTTGCCAGAACCCTTGAGTAAGAAATTTACTGTGGTAGAGAAGTAAAGATCCTGGTGACAACCCACTTCACTCACTCTGAACAGCCTGATTTTTGCCCTGGAGTGAGCCTAAAGTCATTTAGTTTGAAGAGCCCAAGACCCTAGGAGGAAATTAACTCAGTTTTCTCCAGTTTATATCAATAGACAAACAATCAATTTATTTTATATTGAAAAGATGCACCGGGCATGCGTGAAGCGTCACCCGGTAGGCACACCAGAGCACAACAGACTGTGTGAGGAAGTTCTTTCACCAGCATCCCTCGCCAAGCATCAGAAGCACATGGAGATATCAGCTCACCGTTCTAGTTGCTCACTTGCCATAGCTGTAGCTTTTGCTAAAGCAGAAGTTCCATTTGAATTGGAACTATCACTCCAAAGAAGAAAAGCTATTTCAGCCAGAGAACTAGGCTGACCCAAGAAGATTCTTAAATTGGTCAACCCCGGTTGCATCACACTGAACTCAGCCCTCTTGAAGGATGAGAAGTGAAAGAAGAATCTAGATCCCACCACATCCATTCTGGAATCTTCTTGTGGACAGGAACTGTTTATGTTTCCATCTGTCCCCTGTCTCATCCAGCAAAATGCTTTGCTTAGTTCTGCCTCCTGCATCCTATTTCTTCTCTGGTGACTCCTATTTAGCACTTAAGATTCTACTGAAATATCCTTTCCTCCGCGAGGCCTTCACTAACTCTCCCAGGCAAAGGTAATGATTCCCCTGCCCGTGTTATATCCTCACAGCCTTCTAGTGATCAGTTTACATGGTCGCCCATCCAACTAATTATCCCCAATGCCTGGCCTATAAGTGGAAGGCAGTGGGTACTCAAACATGAATCAATTGACTAAAATCTCTGAAAGGCTAATAGGGTGGCATTAAGGAGACTGGGGCCACAACCCTATCCTGGTCAACAGGACATCTTCCACTTTCAGGCTGGTTGGACATTTCATGTGGTCAAAGTAATCACTCATCCAATCCAACAGTGAATCGGTAGTTTCTGGATGTCAGGCACTGCCAGGTAAAGAGAATAATAATTCTCTCTTAAATGTACACAAGATGCAATGGTGCAGCTGACTTAGAAAACAGTTTGAAATTTCTTCAAAGAGTTAGACATAGAGTTATCATATGATGCAGTAATTCCACTCCTGGGTACACACTCAAGAGAATTAAAAACGTATGCCACACAAAAAGTTGTACACGAATGTTCATAGCAGCATTATTCGTAATAGCTGAGAAGTGCAAACAACCCAAGTGTCCATCAACTGATGGATGGATAAACAAAATGTGGTATGTCCATATGATGGAGTATTACTCAGCCATGAAGAGGAATGAATACTGGTACACGCTACAATATGGATGAACCTTGGAAATGTTACACTAAGTGAAATAAGTCAGACGCAAAGGCTACATATTGAATGACTCCATTTAGGTGAAACATCCAGAATAGGCAAATCTATAGAGATGGAAAGCAAATTAGTGGTTGCCAAGGGGTCGGGGGAAGGAGAAATGGGGAGTAACTGCTTAACGGATATGGAGATTCCTTTTGGTGATGAAAATGTTCTGGAATTAGATAGTGGTTAGGGTTGCACACCTTTGTGAACATCTTATAAACCACTGAATTGTTAGGGGGAAAAAAAGTCTACAGCATGCATTCTGAGAGTGTGGAAACTATCAATGAAGGAAGTGGCTAAAAGTGTAAAAGTGTGGAGGAACAGAAAGTCCTGTAAAAAGCAATTAAAAGTTGGCTTAGCTCCCCTTCATGCTCCCGCCTTCAACAACCTGGAGAGGATTTACTCCTTAGCTCTGCATTCTCCAATTGAACGTTCTATGATGGTGGGAATATTCTCTATCTGAGCTATTCAATATGGAAGCCGCTAGGCACGTATGGCTATTGGATACCTGAAATGTGGTTAGTGCAACTGAAGAACTGAATTTTAAATGGTATTTAAATTTAAAAAGCTACATGTGGCTAGTGGCTACTATACTGGCAGGGCAGCTTTTGATGGTTTAGAGGACTAGAGCCATCTTAACTGGCCGTTTGGAGCAATGCTGGAGGGCATGGGAGCAGGAGAGTCTATATCTTTATGTCACACAGCCCAGCTCAACCCTGTTTCCACTAGAAATCATTCAATAAGATTTAACTGCTTCCATCCTTCTCCCTTCTATGAACTCTTAATGAACTTCCGTCAATAATGCAGTCTTTATGGCTAGGTACTTCCATCCCACAGGTATTTATGGACCAAGCACTATGGACTTCTGGGAAGAAAAAGGATCAAAGTCAATGTCAACCAAATTCCAACACGTTGATCTCGACAGGGCTGAGAGGAAGAAGGACAAGAGAAATCCCTTGCAAGGACCTGGCTCCTTCCATCCTTCCCGCCAACATCCCCTGCTCACACATACACATACTCTTCCAGGTGGGAAATCTTGCTATTAAGATGCTGAAGTGATGGCGAAGAATCTTTATTTAGATTTCCTGTTTCCAACTCAAGCCTTGTAACGTCCTTAACTCCCTGAATACACCTTTCAGTTCGTGTTGATCTTTCCCTTCTATGAACTTTCTTTGAACTTGAAATCAATAGAATGTAATGACTTTCTAAGTGTTCTTCTGTAACGTGGTGTCCCCACAGCAAGATTCATTTGTTGCACAAATGTTTATTGAACACGTTCTTATTTTTGTGCCAGAACAGTCCTAGGGGCTGTGGATGAAAAGAATGAAAGACAGGGTCACTGGACAGCTGCACGACTGGTGAGGAGGCACACAAAGGAACCCGTCTATAGTGTTTGACTTAGTTGTGTAGGAAGTTTCACTGAAAGCACAGGGCAAGGAGCAGCTGTCTGTACACAGAGGAATCAGGGAAGGCTTCTCAGAGGAGGTGACATTTGACTTGAAGGAACTCGAAGGACAAGTAAGAGTTTTTAGAACATTTTTTAAAATTTAGTTCATTTATATTGTCCACCTTCCAAAATTGGACTTAAGGTAGCATGTCAGGAGGAGTTGTGGGGACCAATGTTTGAAAGATTGCATTAACATCAAGGTCCAGCTCAATATCTGTGACAACATTTGGCATTGCTGATGAGGGTACTAACTGGACAGTCACTCTTGCTGCCCTCAAGGCTTATTCCTGAGAGCAAAACAGAATAAAAAGATAAGGCTCTCTGATCTCAAGGAGTTTCAAATCTCTCACTGTACTATTTAAATACCCTTCTTACAGGTCTCTTGTGTTTTATCTTACTTTTTTCTATTCCAATGCATCCCAAATTTCAGTCATTTGTGTCCCACCGTCACCATTCTTACCATATCCGTGTATCACCTGCACTATTATGTACTTAATTGTTTCTTTAACTTGGCTCTCATTTTGCTCAGCTTTATTGAAAAGGAATTTTTATATGATTATCATCAATGAAAAGCCAGTATCACTTGCCACAAACAGAAGGTTAGCCACAAAAATAATACAATGAAAATGAAACCATCTTATCTAATTCTTAGCTGGATACTGTTGGCTCCTGAAAGTTCTGAGTTTGAGGTTCTGCTCTTTCTTTGATACAAGGGAAGATTATCAAGCCTTAGAGGGGTATTAAAGACACACAGGCAACAAACTGATCATTTCTTCTTGGCTAAATCAAACAGACTGGAGGAGAATTGAAAAAAGGATAACTCTCTCACTCCGTGAGCCAAAGAAATTTAATGCCCTTTTGCATATCACTTAAAACCAGCTTCTGCATCAAGTTAAAATCAGCTCATCC